TAATTTCTCGATATACCAAATTTTCGATATCTTTCCTACTCTTCAAATGACACATCAATAATCAAAAGATACAAAAATAGATCGAAAATTTTGTCAAATCTCTAAAATGAAATTTAGCCGAAAAATTTGTAATGATGAGAAACTCAGACAAATTCACTTTATCGGGTCAGAATAAGGTGTTGCGACGAGAACGGTGAGATAGAGTGGCGACGGACAATGGATGCGTAGTTAGTAAATTACAAGCTGGCCGGCACAATGCCATGCATCGTGGCGTGCGTGCGTGCACGGTCTATGACTATGCACGCGTGTTTGTCTATGTACCCTCTCCCATCCAACTCGCCTAGCTGTCGCTCCTCTGCCAGGCTATGGTTTACACAGAGAACGGCGTGCACCGGCGCGTATCCACCGTTCGTCCATGCATATAGAGTCCGCGTGGGAGATTTCTCGGTATACATCAATTCGAGCCGCTGCAGGTACCTGTACATTACGCGACTGTGCATTAGATACCCACGCCAAGATTTCACCTCTGTCCTCCATTTCCACTGCGCATTCTGTATATTTCGATTTGTGCGGAACAGTTGGGTACTGATGAATGACCTAGGTTAGTACATAGAGATTTCTTGATAGTTTAACGTTTTTTGGAAACAAAGAGAAAGAAAAAATGCTAATATTAAAAATTAGATAATAGAATTATTCGTTTCTATTGATCTATTGATTTTTGCTAATGTAAATATCTGACTTGAATTAGGGAAATTTAGAGACTAATTATATGTTAAGGTTTTTTACGAAATTAATTTGCGAAAATTTTTTGAATTTTAATTTCTGTGAAATTTTGGAAATAGATTAAAGAAGAGCTAAGCTAAGCTTAAAGAAATATAAACTTAGAACTTTCATTAATTTCTATTAACGTAAATCTAATATTTATTAGAAAGATTTTAATATGATACATAGAAATTTTGGAATAGATTAATAAGTTAGGTTGAAAAAATATTAATATTTTTCATTTCTATTGACTTTTATTTATGTTAATCCACAATGATCCTAAATTTGATATTTGAATACCAAAGAAATAAGTACATAAGAATATTTAGAATTTTTTTATGTTTTATATATTTTTATTTATAGAAAATAGAAATTATTTAATCTTTTCTTGTGAATTATTGGAAATAAATTAGAAAAATAAAAATAAATTAATTTTTAAGAATTAGAATTTTCTTATTTATCTATGTTTATGTCGATTCACAAATACTTGAATATCAGACAGAGAAAATGATCTGTACGATCTTTTTAATAGTTTGCTATGGAATATTTACGATAATAGATTTAGGAAAAAATATAATAAAAATACTTCATCTTTAGTGAAATGATTTTATCTTCGGCTAATTCCATCCAATATACAATCAAATTATTTATAATTAATAAATTTCTTCAATATTTATTTTTCCATAGCAAGTTTCATTCATACTTGTTTATTCTCTTATATTATCTTTTATCTTATTCTTTTATAATCATCTTTTCTATTTTCTTCAAAGTTTCGAATATTCTCTAGATCGATTACAATTTTAAAATTCAAGATTATCAAAAAGAAATAATCATTTCGATAGTTAATTACAATTCTTTTTGCCAATCTTGCTGTTGTCTCATGCCATTTTAAATCGATAATGTCGCATGTGACACGAGAATGGTACCGGAGGGTCATATAGCACTCAGCTATGATACAAAAATACATTGGATGATAGGTCTATTCTATACCAAGTCAGCGCTGATAGCTTCCCATCGATTACGTCTCATGACACACCTGCAGTCACGTTCACCAACTAAAAAAAACTTTTCTTAGAACAACCTGACATATCACGATAACTTGTATCACGAAAACATTAAAATCTAACCTATGGAAAGAAGCAAGAAGTCTATGTATCTATCTACTATCTACTAATTAATATAATGCAACTTATGACTATTTAATAATCGAAAAAAGATCGAAAAAAAAACAATATAAACAATATTATATTATTAAGAACTAAACAATAAAATTATGTATAAAACCTATGTATTTAAATGTTATGTTATTAACAAATTTAAATAAAAAATTTATGTAATGTTTTTTCAAATAAAAAATATAATATATTGGAAAAATATTTCTAGTTAGTATGCGAGTTAAACCAAATTAATTTTATATTAAATTTTAAAATTATGTAGGATAATATATAAACTAATTTGTTTTAGAATCTATTTATTATATTTGTTTGTTATAGCATATATCTATCTATTATTCAAAAATATTTTAATGTAATAAGTATATAATAATATTATTTACAACATGTATATAACTTAATCACATATGTGTAATAAGCAGGAAAAAAATGATTGAGAATATTACATACATTAGAAATATAAAAAATATTTATAATCTAAAAAAAGAATTGTTAGGAAAGTTTTTATAAAATAATTTTCAAAAATACAATTTTGTATACAAAATAAAAAATTTAAATAATAAAACTAAATAAAACAATTCATAAAAAAAAAGAAAATAAGAAAAATAGTTGCAAAATAAACATTACATTGGCTCGTAATTAAAAAAAAAATAAAAAAAAAAATTAAATAAAAGGAAAATTCGAGAATTCTAAGATGCCAAAGAAATAACGACAAGAAAAAAATCATAAAAGAAAGAAAAAGAGCTTAAAAAAAAGATAGAAAATGTGTAAGAGGAAATGAAGCGTGTCGAGGGTACAGGACGAAGAGAAGGAAAAATTAAAGCCGGGGGATCGAACAGGCCTGAACGATGAAAAAGGCCTGACCATCTAATGATAGAGAAAAAGAACGCGTCTCGTTCGTATTTCGTCGAGAGACGGTTCGTGTAATACTTTATTTGTCCGCCCCTGGACTTCTTTTTCTCCCATCTCTCTTCTTTATCGACCGAGCTCGGTCACGATTCTTTTCACACTCGGCCATCTTTTCCGCCATCTTTCTTGCTAATTACCCGACCCGTTTTCCACCCAGAAATCTCTTCTCGTCCCTTTCCACCTTTCATCCCCATTTTCCTGTCTTTTCTTCCTTTCTCTTTTTTTCTTTCTCTTTTTCTTTACTGTAAGCGAAGATGCATAGATATAGAAGAGAGGCTTGATGCTTTCCGTAAGTGCTTCTTGCTCGTTGATTCTCGCGAGCCGCGAGTTCGTGGAACACCCTATGAAATATTCAAACCGCCCATGTTCCCCTCACTGTGCAGTTTTATGGGCAATTTTGGTGTATCTGTTTGCTCGAACTTGCCTCGCGGAGATTAGGTGAAGGAGGAATAATACGTTTCATTGGATGGGATTTCATAATGAAATGGTATGTGATTATATATACTAATATGAAGATGATGATATTTTTTAATAATAAATTAAAAATTTTTTTTAATATCATTCAAGTTTTCATTTCAATAATTTTTTACTGTCAATTGTAATACTAGAGTTCAAATCAATAAAAAATAGATCAATTAATAATGATCTAAATGGATTTATAAAATGTTTGATGGAAAGATAAAAGATGTTTTATATAGGTTAAGATTCAGTCAGTGTGATTTAATCAGCATAGATTGTTGCGGTTTAATGTGGTTTCTGAACCATCATTAACAATACACGATGTTCACAAGCTGTCATCTATACTATGCAGAGATGAGAAGTTGTCTAACCTCGAACAAACTTTTCAGCATAGGGGTAAGAGGAGAAACCACCTAATTCTCTCCCACCTTCTGACTCTTGGCGATCATATTGCATAGAAATAAGGTCATTGTATCTGCGGCATTCGAAATTATGGTTATAGAATCTCTGTTCTATTTAAGTATTATAATTATGCCAATGCATTCTACTTCGTCGTTCTATTTTATTTCAATATGTAGTAGTGCTCCATTAATTATCGCAGAATTGAAAATGTGTTCTGAAAAAAAAAAAGGTTGGCATTTTGTTTAACGATACATATATTTCTAAGATATATTTCTAAGATATAATAAAGTTTTTAAAGATATATACATGTTTCAAAAACTGAAAATTCAATTCCAGAAATTGATGGAGATAACTTTAAATAATTAAACGAAAAGAAAATTAACCGAACACTATTATAGTTCATATGTATCAAGTGTTTTTTTTAAATCTATTCGATCAATAACGAAAATATTAAATACTAATTTCGATTGTAATTTAATTTTCGTCGGTAGTTTTAAATAGAAACTAATGAATTTTAAGTAGTTTTCTTTTATTTTTTTTTTTCACATAAATATTTTAATGATCATTATTATTTTAATCTTATATAATCATCGATAAATATTTCAATAAATTCAAATAAATGCAAAATTTGATATCTTTTAAGATTATGTACGATTTCAAGAGATTTTGTAGTCACGTATAATGATATATATATTTATATCATTATTTATAAGGCATTTCAATTATTGAGATTCTGATCTAGCTTTTATTATTTAGATTTTATATATTTGCACACAAATTTTGAAGGATCTAAATTTTTATTATTATTTCCAGCATTTTGTTTCTTTTCATTTTTTTCTTTTTGTCTTTTGTACATAAAATTTGTTGCTATTTTGTTTATATATACAATTCGTCTCGTTATACTTTTCCGCAATATACTTAGTAACACATAATTTTGTGCTCAGTCAGCTATATATTGTTCAAATTTTAAGTATATAATCCATTAAAAACGGAAAAGGAAATAATTTAAGCTCGGTGTGTAAAGTGCATAATCCATTATAAGTGCACGGAATAGAGATCATATTTTTTTGTAATTTTTTGTATTTTTTTATATTACATAAAAAGAAAAATGTTTGTTGTTGTAAATGTTAAAAAAAAAGATTGTTATAAAAAACTGGTCAAATTAATTTCTATGCTACAAAAGATCATTATCTTTTGGGATTTTTTAAATTTTGTGATTTATGAACAATTTAATTGATGGTAAAAGTATAAAATGTGTTTTTTAATAACTTGGTGTATTGAAATTTGTAATCTTACCTTGATAAAACGCTTGGCCTTAGTCAAGAGGCCCAACGTGGTATGTCTCGAGGTTTCCGGACCTAACGGAACCAACACCTTCAACTTTTCAAGGCAATTTCTGAGGTGAGCTCTCCTGTAATAAAAAATGCATCAAACATTTAATACATAAATAATGTACATTTTTTTCTTTAATTTTTAAATATTAATTATAAGAATTTTTAATTTCCTCTCTTAAAAATTTAAAAAATTTAATTTTCTTCATCTCTTATATATACATGATGTTTAAGAATATTAGAATTGTTTAACATAAATATAAATTTAGAAAAATAAAATTAATATTATAATTAATATTATATATAATATTATTATATATATATANTTATTATAATATATTTCATTTTTTTAAAAGTTTTAACATAATAATACAAAATATAATTTTAATTAAATTTTAACATATAATCTGCATATCATAATCTTAAAGTATAATACATTTTATAGTTAAATCATAATCTTAACTATAAATCTTAATATCTACTCTTGGTAACTACTTATTATAATAAATTCATCTTCAAAATTTTTATTATGTTAAACATAAGTATGTACATAAGTATGTACATTTTTTATTATTATATAACTATATAAATAATTAAAAAATAAATTAAGAATTTATATACACAAAAATAAAAAAATTTTATTATTTTTTTCAATTTATATATTATAATAACAATACAACACAATAAAAATTTTTTAAATAAAAAAAATATCATAATTATTTTATCAAAAAAAATCATAGATCCAAGAATATCACAGAATTTTTATTTTCAAATTATTCAAATTATTCATGTTGTTATCATCTATAGCAAAATTAATATTCACAAATTTCATTTTACTATTTATCTCACAATATTTTTAGCATACAAAAACATGCAATTATATAATTATAATTCTTTTTAAATAATAAATTAGAAGATTATTTTCTAATTGAAAAAAAAAAAATATATATTTTCAATTTTTTCTTTTTTTCACATTACTATAATAATATTTTAAAAATTGTTCTTAACTTCTTACTTCAAAATCCTCTGTTTTAACTTCGTTTATCTTTATTATTTATTTACTTATTTATTTTTTGCAAAAAAAAAACAAAAATTATTGAAAAACAATTTTTAAAATATTGGAAGCAAATTAGAATCGTTACTTCGTTTTTAAAATAAATAAATAAATAAATTTTTCAATAAAAAGATTCTACGACTATAAATACCCACAGAACTATTAAAACTATCCAAAACCAACGTGCACACCCATTTTACCCACTCACACTTATATCACCATTCCGACCAATGGTGGCCAATTTCACGCGGACCCGATTCGTCTTCTCCGGAAAGGTTTTCGAATTACCCACCAGGCCAGAAGGAAACCACGCGAGCGGCATTCGTTTTTCGCGTCACGTATACGGCCACCAACGAATGGAGCGGAATCCAACCGGCAAACAGACGGCGAAATTGAACGGGGTTATCCCCATCGGCTGCTTACACCACGGGTCGCATGGAGAGTCTACACGCCAGAGTTGGCCGCCGCGAAAGTGTCCGGAAGAAAGCGATAAGATCCCGATTATCGCGGCGATCACGGCCCATTAGTTGAACGAATCGCGCGATAAACATACAACCGGAATACCAAAGCGGGGAATCCCAACGGCGATTATTTTTATTGGGTGGGGGAGTGTCGCGCGGCGAGTCGGGGTCGCTTCCTTTTTCGACGGTTAGAGAGATTTAGTTTGGGTCAGAGAGGATGGTCGGTGCTGGTGATTTCGCTATCGGTAAGGTTGGGTTGATCTTTTTTCTTTGTTTTTTTTTTTTTTTTGGGAGGGAGGATGTGGTTAGTTTGAAAATCTTTGAATTTTATTTCGATGGAAAGGGTGCGAGATAGTGATTTCTGAAAGTGATAGAATATTTTTATTTAAGATTTTGAAGTAGTACGATATTTATTTTAATGTAAGATGTGTAAGATGATAATTCTTGAAATTGTGTTTTTATTGTATTTTTTATTTATCATTTTATCATTTTTAAATAATATAATATTTCGAAATATAGTCATGATTGTGGAATATTTGTAAATGATTCAGGATTGTTTTTTTTTTTTTTTTTGGATATAGTTCAAAGATTCTTGAGTTTTATTTTGAAAAGAGTTGAGATCAATGGAAACGATATAGTAATTTCTTAAAGATAATCTGATAGAATTTATAAAATTTTTGTTCAAGATTTTGAAGTACAATATTTTAAAATATTATGGTCGTGGAATAAATAGTAGAAGCTAGAAATTTCGTTGTTTGTTTTAGATTAGTTTTTTTTTTTTTTTGATGTTTGAAGATTTTTGAGTTTTATTTTAATAGAAAGGATTTGAAATCAGTAGAAAAATTGTGAGATGATGATGATTTTTGAAAAGTAGTGGAATTTATATAATTTTTGTTTAATATTAGAACTATTCATCAAAATGATTTCACATATTATTTTATGACTACTGAAAATAGTGTAATAAAAGTGCTTAATAAAATATTTTATTGAAAGAAATAATTGCATATTATATAAAATAAATATTAAGATAAATTATCTATCTTAATCTAATCTATTAATTACTACAAGTCACTAATTCTAAAATTTCAAAATAATATAATAATTTAAAACATAATAATCGTAATTGTAGAATTTTTATAAATAATCAGGATTGATGATTTCATTGTAACGTTTTTTTTTTTAAATGGAATGAATTTGAAATTATATTTTAATTCGGCGAATAAAATTTTAAATTAATTAAATAAAATTTAAATTAGTGAATATTTAAAAAAATATGGAATAATAACTTTTGTAAGATTTGTATTTTGATAGAATTTATATGTTTATTCAAAAAAATTTTTTAAAATCAAAAAGAAAAGAAAATACAAATTGAAATTTAATTTCTTTTCGTTAAAAATTGTTTATTTTCATTAAAAATTAAAAATTAATAATGAATTCCAACTCAAACGCTAAAAATCAGCAAAAATATCCCTTAAAAAATCAACATAGCATCACTATTTAATAATTACGCAATTAATAAATTATACAAATCCAAATTTAACTCATTTCTTTCAAAAATTATTTATTCCCATTAAAAAAAATATCTCAAGCATCTAAAAATCCGCTATAACAATTCTTAAAATACAATATTTATAACACAATTTAATTTATAAGATATTCACAAATCCAAATTTAATTCGTTTCTATTAAAAATTAAGAAAAACATAAGTTCAGACTGAAATACCCAAGAATCCACAAAAACAACTCCAAAAAAGATCAACGTGCCTATACGCATGTCCCAGACGCTTGAAGATTTATTTCCCTCTTCTAGCAATAATAATCCGTGTCGCGTCACGTGTGGCAAACACGCGCCATTACAGCCATTTAATTATAACTTTATACCCGGTTTATTGTCCCGTCGTGGAAAATGGAGACAACGACGCCTATGTCCTTCGCCTCGGCCAGCGACGTCATCGTCGTCCAAACAGTACGGACAAGACGGTGGAGAGAGGATGCGCGTTTGCACGTACGATTTTATGAGAAACAATAAGCCCGGCCCCGGCTTAATGATGTCATCAAACGGTATTATGTCTCGCGGGCCGCGGAGTGGACGGTTTCCGGGGTTGGATGGATGCATTCTACCCGCGGGACGCTGTTATGCACGGCCATTTAGGAAAAGGGGTTCCGTATTTAAGCGGCTACGACGAAGAATCTAGTTCTGACGTACAGTCTTGTACGAAACGATAGCGTATTCTACAGTTTCAATATATATTATAGATAATTTCAATGTTTTTCGAGACTAGTGTATTCAAATTTTACATATAGTTATATTAATGGCGGAACAGCTCAAAATTTTAGAGAAAAATTTATTAAAATTTATATAATTATTAATTAATTATTGATAAATTTATGTAAAAATAGAAATAACGTAGACCTTGCATTTAATTTAAAAAGCAAATTTGAAATTTTTCGAATTGTGTCACTATCAATGCCAGTAATATGTATATATATATTCATGTAAAATATTTGTTCCATTTTTTAATAATATACAATAATATATTTTTTAATAATATACAATATTTGTAAGATATGTTTAACGACTCGCTTCTAAAAATAAAAGCAAAAATTGGTCTCAACAAATAAAAATAAAATTAAGATTCTTATTCGATTATGGTTTATTTATTAAATTATAAATAATTGAACTTTGCAATAGACAAAGTAAATTCGAAATAAAATAAGACTTCTTCCCGTCTCGCTTCATCTAATGCGAACATGAATTTCTTATTAAATAACTTATTAAGTAACTTATTAAATAAGTTTCAACTAATTTTTATACACTTTTTATATTTGTTTTGGCGTCTTGATCTTTTAAAAATGTTTCATAAATACTTAATAAAATTTTCTCTAGAAAAAAATCAACTGTAGTTACTATTTTTATCTACAAAGTTAACACGTAAAATAAGAAAAATAAAATAGGAAAAAGCAAATAAACGTTTTATTGTTTTGAGAATAGAAAGATATCTTGTGTATTTTTGTGTGTTGAATTTGAGTCTAGTTGTAAAAATTTATAGTTTATAAAATACATTTTTAAATATATATAATAATTTTAAAATGATATTATTAAAATTAAAATTATGATAAAATTGATCGATATAACGTTGCATAAATTCACTCATCTCATTCAGAATAAAACATATATCTTCAATATATCTTAAATCAATAACATTCAAATCCGAATATAAACCATAAAAGAAATAAAACAAAAGAGATATTATATTTTTTTATATCTCAAGAAAATATTATATCCCAAAAGTGTGAAACGAAAATAGGAAAATCCATCGTGTGCGATATTGACCGGCGCAGAAATAGTTTGATCAACGTTCATCTGAGAAAATCCGATCGCTGGAAATTGAATATCTTATGGGGGTGGATCGCACAGTTGACGTGATCGAAATTTGCAATACCTGTGTGACGTGCAACGTCTCGTCGAATAAAAAAAATTTAATCAAACGTTTCGAACCGTGGAAAATTTCCTCTTGAAAGAATCCATCGTCCATCCGTAATACCGAATAAGGTGATGATTACG